ATAAGATGCCAGGGGAGACTGAATAAAATACATCACAAAACAGGAAACTAATTGAAAATTATTTAGTGTTTACTGGTATCTAATATGTGCTTATTGTAATAAATATTAGCACTATAAGATGCCAGGGGAGACTGAATGATAAACCTCTTTTAAAAAATCGAAAAAGAAAGTATTTAGTGTTTACTGGTATCTAATATCTGCTTATTGTAACAAATATTAGCACTATAAGATGCTAGTAAAAACTGAATAATAGACTTCATTTAAATGAAATGCGAAAAGAAAGTATTCAGTGTTTACTGGTATCTAATATCTGCTTATTGTAATAAATATTAGCACTATAAGATGCTTGGGGAGACTGAATAATAAACCACTTTAAACAGAAAAAAGAAAAGAAAGTATTTAGTGTTTACTGGTATCTAATATGTGCTTATTGTAATAAATATTAGCACTATAAGATGCTAGTGGAGACTGTATAGTAAACTTCATTAAAAAGAAAACCGAAAGAAAGTATTTAGTGTTTACTGGTATCTAATATGTGCTTATTGTAATAAATATTAGCACTATAAGATGCTAGGGCAGACTGAATAATAGACTTCATTGAAAAGAAAACCGAAAAGAAGGTATTCAGTGTTTACTGGTATCTAATATGTGCTTATTGTAATAAATATTAGCGCTATAACATGCTAGGGGAGACTGAATAATAAACTTAATTAAAAAGAAAACCGAAAAGAAAGAATTTAGTGTTTACTTGTTTCTAATATGTGCTTATTGTAATAAATATTAACACTATAAGATGGGAATAGAGACTGATTAATCTCTAATATTTTAACAGTGGTATAATGTTGTACTATTATTCTGTTATGCCTATTTTTAGAAACATGTAAGTTCTGAGTTGACTTCAAAGTTGTTGTTAAAAGCAGTAAGGACTATAATAAACAAAAAATAATTGAACTCATTGCACATTCTTCATTTACTAAAATTTAACAACATTTATCACCGTGATCTGATATCACAAAACAACACAAGATACATGTACATCATAATGGCTTTTTGCGTAGTTTTAGTTTTAGTTAGCAATTGTCATTATGTTGTTGCTTCACACAGAGATTGCAACCTTTTTTCTTTCCCATTTATCCGTGTCCAGACAACTTAACATGAATCTAGCAACATCAGTCCGTGGTATAGACCAGCCTCCATTAGACACATATTGGCCCTCTCGTGCCTGTATTTGTTTTTCTGAAAAAAAGAACTACAAAGATATATCTGTGAAACGTTCTCGACAATAAATCTAATGATCTTAAAAACCAACACAACGGCATACCTATAAAACCGTTTCGAAAATATCTCTTATGACAGCATTCACAGCCCGGTTAACTGGGTCAATTTCATTTCTTTTTATGGAACATATTTGGCCCTCGTTAAGACACCAACCTGTTCAATAACCATTACACATCTGTCCTTATCTATTTGCAGAACCTCGTGCATAAGTTCCTCTTTGATAGATATCAGGAATAAGTTGATCTGGATTCTTTTAATTTTCAATGGTGCTAAAATACTTTTGTACAAACTGTGAACTGTGCTACTTATTAACACATTTATACCAAATTAACTGAAACGTTTCCACGACAAAGTTTTAGACTGGTAAAACATTCTTTGATTATTTTCATTAGTTGCCTCCAATGTATTGCCAAACTCTTATTTTGGAGTTCGGATTTCATTGTTCGGTTCGGATAGTTATTATTTGGGAGCACTCACGAAGGTATCTTCTGTTTACTAACCTGTTGAGTTGCCGTTTGATAACGAAGGGGGTCTGACAACAGTGTAATTTATGTCTTGACACTCCGACTCCAAATAATCCTCCATTCTCGCCATATCTGCATATATCGTTTTCAGAAATAGTGACCTTAACAACCAGGACACAAAACGTGGTTCACCATCTTCATCTGCAACAGATAATTTACTTGAACACGATTATAAACATATAACTACCTGTTTCCATGTTGTTATCACAATACTACATTATATATATTATTTATATTTTCACCTTCCAATTTGTGTGTAATATTGAGCAACAATGGCGGCTGTGGCGCCAAGAACGGTATGCTAACTGTTCCAGACACCTGATACAACTTGTCTTTAAGAAATGCTCCCTCATTTGTGATTGATATATTTCCTCACATATTGCTACTGGTTTTTGTAACTTCTGTGATCAGTTTTCTCCCTTGCAATGTTACCATTATATAAATAATATTTTCATCAGTTACCTCCCTTGAACTATAAAAGTTGATCAGTATAATCACTACTAATTTTTTGACCTAATTATATTTTTTAAAGATAAGTACATGTATAACAAGTCTTTATCAAAAAGTCCAGAGTATCAAACAAGGGTAAGTTCATCGTCACCATTATTACGATATATGACAATATTCTTCTGATATCCGTACAGATGCTTAAAAGAAATTTGACAATTTTCGCTTTTCAAGGGAAGTAACCTGTGCGTAAATCACTACAAATAAGTTATAAAAAACAAAAGATTTTCGCTATTAAAAATAGTGTTCAATACATCAATTAAAGAGCCACATAGAAATATTAAAACAGAAATTGTTGTTATTTATGAATGAATGGAGTTTTAAATCCTACTCTGGAGGAGTGCAGAGCTATCTTCTGATAGCTGACTTACTTCAGCCTTCGTTCCTTAAAAAAAACTATATTGTAAAGCAGGATATAGATTTAAAAGATCTAAAGTCAACGAAGATATCTTACGTTTCAATCCCCAGGATGTTAAACACAGAAATCGTTTAACATTTGTTTTTCTCATTGCTGACACTATAACACGGGTTGAACTACTGTATAGCTGCACCTCTTTCATAAAGGTTCCCCTTGCCCCCAGACAAGACATGACAACATCGCAATTCTCCAGCGCTGGTACCATCGTATCTTCCTTTGATATGTCTGTTTTCTCCACCTTAAATACAAAGTATCTTGTATAAAAAATAGTTCATTTAATCGTTAGAAAGTGGGAGAGGTGAGGGGTGTAGGGCAGACCTTTTTAATCGCTTAAAAGTGAGAAGGGGTGTAGAGCCATTTTACCACCTTTTAAAAGTAACCCTTTCTCACGATCTTAGCTCCATAACCGAGAAAAAGCTCATGTAGTGAATGTTTTGGACCCTTGGTTAAAATTAGTACTAACTAACCAGCTGATAAAGCTACTTGGTCTGACAGCACGATGATAAATCGCCGATTCATCAATCATTGATAAAACTGCTGTATCATGTTACTATCTATAGTAAGCCTATATACCTGTATATTAGTATATATACCAATAGGATATGAAGCGTATGAGTGTAAGTTTCGTCTGCTATTCAATATTAGCTATATTAGCTACCTGATACAGTATTAGGCCCTCAAGTATAGGTGATGCTATGTCTTACTAATCTATATTGTCTAGATAGGTTCTTTTTCCTAATTTTCGAAATGATATAGAAGTATTTCGTTCAATCCCTCCTTCCTTTTTTTGACCTGTATCATAGGAAAAAGCGGCTCCAAACTGACATCAGCTACGGTCCCACACCGGTCCCAAAT